CTCTCACCACTGCTTTTCAATATAATACTGGAAGTCCTAGCCAGAGCAATAAGACAAGAGAAAGACATACATGAATCCAAATAGGGAAGGAAGAAGTCAAACCATCACTATTCACAGATGATATGATTGTTTACACAGAGAACCCCAAAAACTCCACAGAAAAACTTATCAAACTAACCAATTAGTTTAGTAAAGTAGCAGGATACAAAACCAATACACAAAAATCAGTAGCCTTCCTATACACAAACAATAAATCTGAAAAAGAAACCAAGAAATTCATCCCTTTATTATTGAAACAAAAAAATCAAATACTTGGGAATAAACCTAACAAAAGAGGTAAAGGACCTATACAAAGAAAATTATAAAACACTGTTAAAAGAAATGGAAAACACAAAGAAATGGAAAGACATTCCCTGCTCATGGATTGGAAGAATGAACATTATCAAAATGGCCCTCCTGGGCCTCCCTGGTGGCACAGGTGGTTGAGTGCAGCACTGTGAAGCTGTCCGCAGCCTCTGCAGTGTGGGTTTGATCCCAGCCAGCTGGTGAGAATCCAACATGGTGAAGCAGACCTCTCCTGTCTCGCCCACTGCTCCCCTCGCAGTGTATTTCGTCAGTATGCCTGTTCTGTTCCCCACTCTGTCTCTGGTGAATCCTCTTACCTTCCTGCACATCTGGCCTGTACTCTGGTTCTTGAATAAATAAATGTTAAAAAAAAAAATCCATCCTATCAAAAGCAATTTACAGGTTCAGTGCTATTCCAATAAAAATTTCAATGACATTCTGCAAAGAAATAGAACAAATATTGATGAAATTTATATGGGGCCACCAAAAGCCCCAAATAGCCAAAACTCTCCTGAAAAAAGAAAGAAGGAATGGAGGCATCACCCTCCCAGATTTCAAACTATACTGCAAAGCCATAATAATCAAAACTGCATGGTATTGGAACAAGAACAGACACATGGATCAACGGAAATCTATTTCTATCCAAATAGAAAACCCAGAAATAAACCCACAGATTTATGGTCAACTAATCTTTGACAAAGGAGCAAAGAATATGCACTGGAGCAAAGAAAGTTTGTTCAATAAATGGTGTTTGGAAAACTGGGTTGCTACATGCAAAAGAAGGAAGCTTGACTACTACCTCAGACCATGCACAAAAAACAACTCAAAATGGATTAAAGAACTAGACATAGGATCTGAAACCATAAAATATATAGAAGGAAATATAAGCGAAACAGTACATGACATGCACCTCAGTAACATCTTTAAAGACTCACCACCCAAAACATTGATAGTAAAGGCAAAGATAAACAGCTGGGACTACATCAAATTAAAGAGCTCTGTACAGCAAAAGAGACAGTAACCAAAACAAGGAGACACCCCACCGACTGGGAGAAAATTTTTGCACCCAACACTAATGATAAAGGACTGATCACAAAAATCTACAAAGCACTGAAGAGTCTCAACAAAAACAAAGCAAATAATCCAGTCAAAAATAGGTAGAATAGTGTGGTGGCAGCTCTGAGCCCGGGGAGTAGACACCATGAGCAAAGCGTACCCTTCCGAGTTGAAAAAATTTATGGACAAAAAGTTATCATTGAAATTAAATGGTGGCAGACATGTCCAAGGAATACTACGGGGATTTGATCCCTTTAGGAATCTTGTGATAGATGAGTGTGTGGAGATGGCAACTAGTGGACAACAGAACAATATTGGAATGGTGGTAATACGAGGAAATAGTATCATCATGTTAGAAGCCTTGGAATGAGTATAAGCAGTGGCTGTGTTCACCAGAGAAATCAGTTGCTTCCCCATGTCTGCTTCCCACAGCATCTTTTTACTATGATATAAAAATTGGGTTGTGTACATTTTCTTACTGAACTTTTTGTTAAATAAACTTTTGTAATAGTAAAAAAAAAAAAAAAAATAGGTAGAATAGCTGTAAAGCGACTTCTCCAAAGAGGAAATGTGTATGGCCAGCAGGCATATGAAAAAAATATTCAGCATCACTTGAAATCAGGGAAATGCAAATCAAAACTACAAATCAAATCTCACACCAGTGAGAATGGCACATATTAAAAAAAAACTAGCAACAACAAATGTTAGCAAGGATGCAGAGAAAAAGGAACTGTTCTGCACTGCTGGTGGGAGTGCAAACTGGTCCAACCACTTTGGAAAGCTGTGTGGCGATTTGTTAACCTGATAAAGATGGAGCTTCCTTATGATTCAGCAATTCCACTCCTAGGTATTTATCCAAAGGACACAGAAACATTAATTCCAAAGAGCACCTGCACCCCTATGTTTATAACAGCACTATTTACAATAGCTAAGTTATGGAAACAACCCAAATGCCCAAAACAGATGACTGGATGAAGAAGATGTGGTACATATGCACAATGGAATATTACTAAAAAAGATAAACTCATGCCATTTGCAGCAACATGGATGGAGCTGGAAGGGATCATGCTTAGCAATATAAGCCAGAAAGAAAAAGGAAAATACCGGATGGCCTCACTCATAGCACGAATTTAGAAAACCTAAATAAGGGACCAGAAAAAGACTAATTATAATAAAGTAAAAATCAAAATCAACAAGCAACTATAAACCAGATACACACTACAGGGGTGGAGAAGGGAGTAGGATCAAAACAAGGGGGGTGGGAATTGTATGAGAACTATAACCAAGATGAAAATACATACATTGTGTAAAAATGAAAAAGATGTAAAAATATATAAAATAAAATATTAAAAAACAAATAAATACGCTGATCAAGATATGCTGATCAAGAACAATAGAAATTAATGTTTATAGAGCAGCACAATTTTTGACTTTGGAATTATTTTTCAAGTAAACAAACACATGTAACTTTGCTAATAATGCATCCTTAATTCATGATAAAAATCCACATGAAACACTATAATTCCCTAGATAATTATATAAATTTGCATCTAATTGTGAAAGGGAACTGCTAAGCAAATAAATCTTTTCTGTTTCCTCCTAAAGGGTCATAGGCCTGGTGCAGTAAATAATCCAATGCAAATGTAAATAACAAGTTTGCTTACTAAATCTTTCCTTAGAGAGCATTCCATCTAAGTTTTGCCTTATCTAAACGAGATTACATTTTAACAAGGTCTGACAGCCATCCAAGGTGATTTATCTCACAAAGACCATCCTAAAATGTCTGCATCTTTCCCCCTTTGTCTAGGAATTTTGCAGCAAATAGTTGTGATTGCTAACCGATGTTATCAATATAAGATGGTGGTGTATAAAAGAAACCCTTTGTTCCTAGAGAGGTTCTCAGACCTTACAGGACTACCCAGGTCTGGGACCTCATGCATGAGTAATAAATCTTCTCCTGACCTCACCATTCCTGAAGTACCACCTGTTCTTCCCTTACCTGGGTAAAAGGCTAGAATTCATTTCTGCAACAAATACATAATCTTCATGTGACCCAGATGAGACTGAAAAATCATGAATCCAGAATTTTTACCTATTTATAAATTTTTAATAGTTTTTTCTTAAGAATGGAAAGTAAAATTTAAAGGATAATAGATGATGAAGAAACAATAGCTGGGAAAAAATGTGGCCAAATCATCCCATCGCAGGACCCAGAAGAAAAGCAGCATGACCAGGAGAGAAGCGTGTCCTCGGCTGTGACTGGAGTGTCCCCTCGAGGCCTCATCCTGACACTGTGCAGGGGGCCAAGGGACACGCTCCTGGGGTCCAGCTCCAGGTCACACAGGAGGGCATGTGGGGGATGTGGGCCAGGAAGCAATGAATGGGTGACCGACTACTCAGCACTTTATACATAATTCACAGATGCTTGACCTACCATCCAACACAAGTATATGTTTTTGGCTATCAAGAGAAAGTTTCTATAAAGTTAAGGAATGCTCGCCTTTCCACAAAATAAGGAAAGAGACAGCCACAATCTTTATATCTAACACGCTATGTTATTTATGTCTCAAATTCAATTCTATTACCCTACTCTGTTACCCCCAAACTATATTATAAATATAAACCTCAGCACCATTTATAAAAGAATAACTGTGAAAGAGGAAAAAATGCATAATAAATACAAATTAATACATATAACAAGAAAATGTAAAAACTATTACAATCCTTTTTTGTTGTGGGTTGCACAAATAACTGATGTCTGACCCCCACGCCCCTTCTCTGTCTTCTCTCACCAGAACCACCTCAGGGTCCCCTGGGGGAGGATCACACCTTCCTCCCTGCGGATCTAGTGCTCAGGATCCTGCTTCCTCTGGCAGCTGTGGTTCCCGTTACTCTTTGCCACAACATGTGAAGGACCGAGTCAGCACAGGGGCACCTGAAGCTCAGGTCCCAGCTCCCCAAGTCACCCTAAGTCTAAAAGTCTCTTTCTTTATTCTTATTTTTTTTTTCATTTATACCAAGTAGCTGATTCATATTTGTATCTTTATCTCAAGGGGGTAAAACAAACATTTAGGGATTCATAGAAAAATAAAGGACAGTGGATTGAAGAGGTCTATGAAAATGTTGACTTTTAAAATTTTACTTATTTTCCTTGACGTTTTCTACCCTTCTTATCCATGATGGACCAAGATCATGTAACAGAAAAGTTTTAATTAGGGTTAAATTCCAAAACTATACTTCAATTCAAACCCTTCTCCAAGAGAACTGATTATCCTGAATTTTTCTTCTTCCCTCACAGCTAAGCAAAAACATTTGAGGCAATTAAATTTCAAAACCTCAAATGTCACTTTTATGTACATATCTCAACATGGAATCACAATTCTAGCTCTACATTTCCCAATGGAAGAACTTATCACCAAAGGGCTAGGTCACATGTACCTTGACTAGGAGTACACAGCTTAAAATCTGGCATTTATTAAATGTGCACAATATTTGAGTGTAACTGGCATTGAAAAAATTCAGTAATGCCCATTACAAATAACTTATCTGAACAGACTAAAAAATAACTGGTTAACTTTAAAAAAAAAACAAAACTGCTTACTAATATATAAATATCTTGATAAGAATGAACCAATATGACTTCGGAGTGTCTAGAAATTCTTAGATTAATTTTAACAACATGGTGACAGGTTTTTCAAGGTACTTTCTAAACTCAGCAAGCCACTGTGCTCCAACAGCTCCATTCACAACCCGATGATCACAACTGAGTGTAACACACATCATGCTAGCCACATCAAATCCTTTTTCATTATCTGCGGGAACCAGCCTATCCTTTGAAGCACCAATTGCCAAAATACATGCCTGAGGTGGGTTAATAATAGCAGAGAAGTTCTTAATTCCAAGCATTCCTAAGTTGGATATTGTAAAAGTGCCACCCTGGAACTCATGTGGCTGTAGTTTACTCTCTCTTGCTTTGGTTGCCAAAGAAACAACATCATTAGCAATGGTTTCCAGTCCTTTTATATGTGCATTAAATACAACAGGTCTGATGAGTCCTGCAGCAGTACTTGTTGTGCCCAAGATCAGCAGACTCGGCGAGCATAGCCTCCAAGAATCCAAAGACAGCTGATGCAAATGCAAAAGGGAGTTTATTACGGGCTCGAGACCGGGCCCTCGACATGCACCGATACAACGGCAGAGGTCGAGAGCCCCGAACGGAGGAAGCAGGGTTATCTTACAGGGTTGCGAGTGGCGCGAACTTTGAAAGAAGCTGGCAATTACTCATTGGCTACTACAAAGGCATTTTGGCGTGTGCGGTTAGTTTCAAACTGATTGGATGGTTAGTGATGCTGTCCCATTTATGGATAGGACTGCCCTCATTGGAGGCTAGGGTGGTCTGCTTTTTCGTCACCAAGTAGAGTGAGGGTTGTGACTACTGAAACTATCTCCGGAATGCGGCTGGACAAGGACTAACATAGCAAGGTGGAGGATATACAAAATGGTGAAACCTCGGCTAAGCTTGGTTCCACATTCCCCCATTTTTTTTTTTTTTTTTTTCTGAAAAACGGCTAGTCAGCTAAGGAAACAACAGCTACCAAGCCTTTTATCCGTTAGTGAGTCTAAGAATTATGGTCAAGTTCAGCCACATAATGTGTTCACAGGTTTATAGGTATAGGAAAATTTAAAATTGCCATTCTTATACAAAACACTGACTTTTTCTGGGTCATCTCAGACCACGACCTCTGAAAATCAGACTCTAAACCATTTATCTAGTCAGCAAGAGGTATTATCTTCAGTAACAAATGAGAATTACTCTGCTCAAACAAGGGATCTCTCTCCAGTTAGCCAGTCACAGAGTTATTCATTTGGTCACTAAACATCAGCTATTGAATAAAACAGGTTGCTGCCCACCAGTCTTAATACTAACCCCTTTTTATTTCCTCCTTGCATAGGTGAGTCTGCTGCTCCAATTAAAACACTCTCTGTTATTACTTGAAGGAAACCAAGGCCAACGTTAACACATTCCTTTAGTTGTTATCTCTGAAGCCTTCCTAAACTCTTCAGAGGTCCCCTCCAGCACTGTCCCTAAAACTGCCTAATTACCCTAACTTGCCCTATGTCTTATTCCTCCCCTTCTGCGAATGGAGCCCCTAACTGCAGTTAGGAAAAGGGGTGTCGTTCTGATCAGTAACTGCTTCCTGCTGAAAGTGGGCGATGAGGGGAAACAGTCAGGGCTCCACCGCAGGGCGATGATCTAAGGGACCTCGAAAGGACAGTGGAGGCTTCATAGTTCGATGGTCTCCAGGCGAAAAATGACCTCGATGAAGGCATTGAGGATGTAAGTCCCAAGCAAGAGAAAAACAAAAACAAAAGATTTCAGTTCAAGAGTAAGGAGGTCACAATTTTTTTTTTTTTAACTTTAGCCATTAACAGGTCTAGGGCTTTAGGGTTTTATACATACTTAATGTTACTGCAGTTATCAAAATGAGGCCCTCTAAATGTTAGTACATAAAACGTTAAGTTTAAACAGAATAAGGTAATTCTCCAAGATGAAGACTCAGGACATCAAAACTTTGATTATTATTGCATCTATTTTTACAGAAAAATGGAAATTTTACATGATAATTTTTTCAAATGTGAACAGACAAGTTGCAAAATCACAGACTCACCGGTACCAATCAAAATCTGCAATGAACAGTTCCTTTGAACCGATGCTCAACATCAAGGCACAACGAGACCTGGCCAACCACGATCATACAAACAAAAATTCTTCACAATTATATTTTTATGTTTTATAAAATGGTCTTAAAGAAATACTTTCATAAACATTTCTGGCGCAACTTTGTCAATGACAAAGAAACACAAAGCTATTTTTTATTTTATTTAACCACTGAGAATGTACAAACAAGTAGCCTCGTAGCAAGCAAGGTAGCAGTGCTGTAAAGTGTCTTGGCTCAGGCTGGCCATCTGTACTAGTGAGGGGGACAATCGACCAGTAGGTCAATCCAAAGAATTGAAGTAAGGCAGAGCAAGTGGCCCCTTATTTACCAAAAAGATGATCTTTTTGTCTGCCACTTCTAGGGTCACCCGAGGCTTATCCATATAAACAGTAAACAGGGGAGCTTGTCTCACCTCTGGGCTTCTTCAGAGAAGATCTTCTCCTGCACTGGATTCTTCATCAGAGGCAGCTGACCGTCAAGCCTGTCCTCCCATCCTCGCCCGTGGTTTGGGCTGGCCCCCTCCCTCTCTGGAGAGTGGGACAGTCCCCTTTTTCAGAGCCTTGTATGATGGCACTGAAGGCATGGCCCTGGGGACAGCTTTTTGCAGCTGAGGTGTCCTGGTTGCTGGCAGTGGAAGCAAGCTGGCAGCCCATTGACAGGTTGAGGTCCCGAATGCCCTAGGGCACAAGGGGCCTTGGGTGAGTCTGAGGTGGCAGAGTACTGTGATGGCAGCTGCCATCTACTGGGCCCTTTTCTTGCCTCTCTCCCTTTCTTTCTTTTTTTTTTTTTTTTTTCAGCAAGTCCCCTCCATATTACTGTAGGCCTTGAAGGCTATGTCCAATAAAAGTGTTAAAAGGATTTTAGGCCCTTGATTTAGTCTCCAGAGCCTGCACCTGATGTCAGAACAAGGATGGCTAAAAGATACATATTTTAATTATGCATTTTTATACGTTTTATACAATCTCTATAAAATAGAGACTAGAGACCACTTGGATATTCAGTGACACCAAAACAGTGAATAATATTCTCCCAATTTTGAATAATTAAACATTATAAAATTTTTCTCACATAGTGTCTACATATAATACTGGAGAGAAAAATACAGAAAACACAAAAGTTATCATGCTGCCTCTCTTGTGAAGAAGCTAACTAGTTTTTCACCATTCCTGTCATTAACTATAAAACAGGTGTTTGATATAAATTATTTTACTTTACCTTGTTTACCTGTCCTGTGTCTAAAATGCTACTATTTTCCACATAAACACTTTTGCATATAACACCTCTTTGCCAGGGGCACATGGGATAAAATAGTTGTTTTTTTTCAACCAAGCAATGAATAGGCAATTGCCAAAATTCAGCAATGCATTACCAAAAAGGCAAGGGATTTCATAAAATACAAAACTGAAATTTTTAGATTTACTTAAGAAGCTAAAATTTTTATACTAATTTTTAACCAGAGTCCAGACTATTAAAAACAATTATAACATTATACAATTATAACAATTATACATTTGGCCTCTTCAAGGCCAAAATACAGAGATATAGGACTCCTGGAAAAAGAAGTTAAAACACGCACAACAGTATAAGGCACTACCTTCACTTTACTTGTATTTAGAATTATTACATCCTAGTTTCTAATCTCTGCATGTAAGACACCATAATAGCTGTTTATCATCTCTTTAGAATGCACAACTTAGACACATTTTTTAATTATTTTTTTTAGTTGAGATGACATTAAACTTTAGTCTCCTTACAATAAGGAACAAAATGTAAACCTGAAAGTTCAGTAAATGGTTAGCAAATTTTTATTACTAAAGTTAGCAAAAGTTTAGTTTAGTTTTAGTTTTTCCTTAGAACTGGAATTTTAAGTCAACTTCAGAGTTGCCACTGTAACAATTTTATATACCAAGTCTTTTTCCTTAGGCAAGCACTAGATATGTTACAGGGCAGGGAGAGGGGCAGCCCAGACCCACAAACCTGCCTGTTCTAAATAGGTTCTGCCATCAGCTGCATCAACACAAAACATACAAGACTTTAATGGGAAGGAACTTTAATACAATTAGGAGACAATACAGGAAAGGCAAAGAATCTAGTTTCTAAATTAAGCACCCAAAGTGGGTAAAACTCTGTCCCCTCGTGGATAAAACTCCGTCCAAATGGGATTGGCCCACGCCAGGCCCCAAAGCCTGCCACAAGTTTAAGGCCTCTTCCAGTGAGGACCCACAGGAAAGGGTTAGAAACAACCAGACAAGCTCGGAAGGAAAAGAGCAAAATTAAAATCAAGATAAAAGTTGCCATTGTCTCCTCCCCACGGTTCTCACCCACATCTGTGTTACCCAGTCCACAACCAAAAGACAAGCGCAGTTTCTTCATGTGTCTCTAGGCTCCATGGGCCTCCTCCAGGTCTCCTTCTGGAGTTTTTTTTTTTTTTAATCCTGCTTTCTTCTTCCTCCCTCTCTTGGGTGGGGCAGGGAACCTGGAATTTCCCCCTTTCCTGGGGACCACCCTGTTACAGATAGATTGACAAAAGCAAGAAAGAAAAGGAAAAAAAAAATAGACACCTAATACTATATACATTTTTTTAGTAACTTGTCCATATGGCTTTAGATGTTACCTTGAATTTTGCAAAGAAGTCTAGTCCTTTACTGGGAGAATATATATTTTTTTTTTCCAAGGGGAAAAGATCAGTCTTCCTGGAACAAGATCTTATCAAGAGAAGTTTAGATAAAAGCCTAGAAGTAAGTTTGTTTGTTAGCATAGGCCAGGTTAATTATTATTTTTTTCGTACAGCACAAGTAAACATATTTAAACAAAGCAAAGCACCAATTTTTTTTTTAACACTTAAACCTTAAGGCATGTATGCTCTAAACCATTAAATTTTGAATTAGCTTTTGTTTACTACAATTTTAGATCGCAATTTCAAAATTTAGGATTTTTTTTATAGGCGCCATTTACAATTAATTCTCCAGAGGCAAAAAGCAAGAACAGAGAGATCTCTCAATTTTCATTTGAAATTTTTTTTTTTGCCACGTGCACTAATTTTAAGAAACAGTTATTTTTATCAATATTTGCAAAAACACTGAGAAACTACAATTTAGTAAACTCCAGTTTTTTTGTTTTTTGGTTTTTTTTTTTTAAGGTGGACAAAGGGACACACTAATTTTCCCACAGCTGGAAGGCAGCAGAGATACACCAGTGATCTCAACACTGGAGAAAATGTCCAAGCAGCTGCTTGTTGAGATCAGAGGCAGCGTTTCTTACCAGCCAGCTGTGGTGACTTTTTAGTCCCCAGTATTTTACTTTTTGCCTTGACTGTGTCCAAAGACAGTGGAGTAGGCATTGCCTGACCCATGGTTACGAACACACAAACGCAACAAAGACAACAAACACCAGGAATAAAACAAAATTAGTTTTGTTTTTTTTTTGAACTCTCCCCAAAAGGGGAACCTGCCCCAGTGCTGCCCCACAAGGGGTATGGATAACCAATTAGAGGTCCCTGGGTAGAGACAAACACCAAAGTTTTAAGAATAACAAACACACTAAACGAACCAAAAAACAAATTTTTCAAACGGGCCCCATACAAATGCTACCCCAGTGCTGCCCCACAGGGGATAGCCATTCAGGTGGTCCGGGGACGTCTCCCCTGGTCCATGCCAAGACGCCTACCAGCGCGTCCACTTAAGCGTCTGGCTACCAAAATTACAGGTTTGCAAACAATTCCACAGGTACTGAGCACAAAAAATACAAATACAGGTACTCAGTACTTTTACAGGTTTGCAAACAATTTTACAGGTACTGAGCACAAAAAATACAAATACAGGTACTCAATACTACAGGTCTGCAGATTAAAACCTCACCACTCACCTGCGCGCTTTAATGGCTCCCTTCAGCTGTTTGGTGGTTGGGGTCTGTGCTAGCCGATCCCGGACGAGCCCCCAAATGTTGTGCCCAAGATCAGCAGACTCGGCGAGCATAGCCTCCAAGAACCCAAAGACAGCTGATGCAAATGCAAAAGGGAGTTTATTATGGACTCGAGACCAGGCCCTCGACACGCACCGATACAATGGCAGAAGTCGAGAGCCCTACAATGGCAGAAGTCGAGAGCCCCGAACAGAGGGAGCAGGGGTATCTTACAGGGTCGCGAGTGGCGCGAACTTTGAAAGAAGCTGGCAATTACTCATTGGCTACTACAAAGGCATTTTGGCGAGCGCGGTTAGTTTCAAACTGATTGGACGGTTAGAGATGCTGTCCCATTTATGGACAGGACTGCCCTCATTGGCGGCTAGGGTGGTCTGCTTTTTCGTCACCAAGTAGAGTGAGGGTTGTGACTGCTGAAACTATCTCCGGAATGCGGCTGGACAAGGACTAACATAGCAAGGTGGAGGATATACAAAATGGCGAAACCTCGGCTAAGCTTGGTTCCACAGTACTAACCGCAACACTGATATCAACAACATGATTTCGTCTGATTACTGTGTCCAACCAAGAAGAATTTGCTTCAGGAACTTTTAAACACGCTAAAGCTGATGCTTTTATGATGAAGTCATTGACAGAAATTTTGCTTTTCCCTTCTAACATCTTTTTTTTTTTTAAGAGGCATGTATTTTTATTTATTTGTTTGTTTGTTTTTTATTTATACATGCACTGGGTACAGTCAGAAGCGCGGGAGGGTGACAGAATTCACCAGAGCGGGGAGCAGAGCGGGGAGCAGAGCAGGCAGAAGGACCAAAGTACACTGCTGAGGGGAGCAGCGGGCGGCAGGAGAGGTCTACGCGCCATGTGGGACCCTCCTCCGGTGGCCGGGGAGCAGCCGGGGAACGAACCGGCGCTGCAGAGGCTGCGGGCAGCTTCGCAACCCAGAGCTCAACCGCTGCGCCACCTGGGAGGCCCTCCCTTCTAACATCTTATTAAGTTCTTTCCGTACCAACAAAACTTCTCCCATATTTACATCAACAGAAAGGTAATAATGAGGTATGGTCTGCTTAGATTGCATTAACTGCTGGGCAATAACTTGACGAATGTTGCTGATAGGGATATCTGTGAAGACACCTGTAGGAACTGGTGCCACTCCTGGAGCCGGAGGAGGCACAGCAGCTGCTGGAGCAGGAGCAGCTTTAGTAGGCACAAAAGAGTCAATGTCTTTCTTGATGATTCTGCCTTCTGGTCCCGTCCCTTTTACTTGTGTAAGGTCAATCCCTTTCTCGGCTGCCAATTTCTTTGCAAGAGCGCTAACAAACAACCTCCCCTTTGGTCCAGCAGGCATAGCTGGGTGAGTGGCTGAAGGTGTAGGGGCTACAGGTTGGGGAGTTGGAGGAACAGAGGCCACCAGGGTTGGGGGTGGAGGAGGTACTTGTGGTTTTAAATCAGTTACTTCAGTTGGCCTATAGTCAGCAAAGGCTGGTATATCTGACTCTTTTTCTACAATGATATAAAGTGGGGTTCCTAGAGGGACATCTCTTGTCCTTCTGGAATCAGGATTTTTGCCAGATAACCTTCTTCTTGCACTTTAAAACCTATAGTGGCCTTATCAGTCTCTATCTTTGCCAATAAGTCTCCTTCATTTAGCTTCTCACCCACTTTTTTTTTCCCATCTCTGAACTGTGCCCATGGTCATTGTAGGAGAGAGGGCAGGAAGAACCACCTGCATGTGAGTGGGATATGAGCTACCAGGAGCCTGAGCAGAAGGTATAGGTGGCCAAGCAGCAACAGCAGGGGTTGGTGCTGGGGCTGCCTGTGGGGTGGGTGCTGCCGAGGAATCCAATGTATAAATTTTAAAGGCCTCAACATCCTCAGGCTTTTCAACTGTAATACAGATGACGGACCCTATTGGCACATCTCTGGTACCTTCAGCAACAAGTATCTTTGCCATGTAACACTCCTCCAGGCTTTCAAATCCAACGGTGGCTTTATCCGGTTCAACCTCAGCAATCAGTTCACCCTCATTGATTTTTTCGCCTTCCTTTTTTCCCCACCGGGCTATAGTGCCTGCCTGCATTGTGGGGGAAAGAGAAGGCAATGGAACCTTCTGATGCAGGCGGAGACTGTAGCAGCGGCAGCCTGGCCCTCCGAACAGCTTCAGCAGAAGGCGACTCCGCGGCGCGGTCCCGCGGCTGAGGCTGTAGCCTCTGAGCGCCCGGACCCCGCCATACCACGCGGTCGCGCTGTGGCCGCGAGCCGTAGCCGGGCCGGTGCGCGGGGTCGCGCCCGGGACCCTGGGTCTCTCCCTTAAGGCCGTCCCCCAACCCCGAACCCAGCCCCGGGGGGTACATTTCAGGCCCGTCGCGCACAGACGCGCCACATCGTGCCGCCGACCCCACACGCCCCAAGCCCAGCGCGTCTCCGGAGTGACCTTTCCGGGCGAGGCGCCGCGCAGCCGTCAGCCACGCTGCGCAGCTCTTTCTTTGTTTTTTTTTTTTTTTTAAGATTTATTTTTATTTATTTAGACAAGCACTGGGTACAGTCAGAAGCGCGGGAGGGTGAGAGAATTCACCAGAGCCAGAGCAGGGAGCAAAGCAGGCAGAAGGACCGAAGTACACTGCTGAGGGGAGCAGCGGGCGGCAGGAGAGGTCTGCGCGTCATGTGGGACCCTCCTCTTGTGGCTGGGGAGCAGCCGGGGATCGAACAAGTGCCGCCGAGGCTGCGGGCAGCTCCGCAACCCAGCGCTCAACCGCTGCGCCACCCGGGAGGCCCTTTATTCTTATCTTAATGCAGGGAACAGTTCCCTTCTTTCCAACTTGGGTTGATAGAAAAGTGGAACCATATTCTTCTTCTGAATTCTTCAAATTAACACGGCACAAGCTTGTCACAGGTGTTAGAAATTTACTGAGTTTTTTTTTTTTTAAAGGTATATTTCTTCCATTGCAGGAGAGAGGAAGAAACAATGTAGAATATTAGGCTCCTCTAAAAGTCCATTTTCACTAAAATTTTAGATGGCTAACTTTTCTGGTCAATAATACAGATACCCTCTAAGAAGACCTGGGGAACTTCTTACAGACCCTAGCTTCTCCAAGTTGGAAAAGTAAATTCCAATTAATTTAGGAAAACAATTCAGTTCATCCCCTTTCATGTCCAAACAACATGAAAACACCATGAAATACTTTCTTTACCAAATGAAAAGTGATTCCCCATGATGCAATTCATCCTACCACAGACTGGTTCAAAGTAAATCAATTTCCTCTTTCGCTGTCTCAGCACAAGACCTGACCTGACTGTTCTCATAGCCACGGCCCAGGAATCTGCACCCAGAGCAGGAGGACGAGACTCCAGCATCCAGGACTCGCTCACAGGTTTGTCCACAGGGAACCTGCAGCACAAGAAGAGCCCAGGGCAGAGCTGGGCAGGGAGGGGCCTCATGGGGACACGGTCTCAGGGGTACAGGAGAGGAGGGGGTCTTCAGGCCCTGGGGGAGCCCCATCCACACCAGAGCCTGAGGGGATCCCCTCCCCCTGGGGGACCCACAGGCTCCTCCAGAGAAGGAGGATTGTTCATGGGCACAGAGGGCTTCTGGGGCCCAGCCTCCAGGGGGCAGAGGGTCATGGACACGTCTCCAAAATAACATGTGAAGAATGGAAGGAGGGTCCCAGAGAAGGACTCAGGAGGGAAGGAGAAAATGTGGGAGCCATCGGTCATGTTATAGAAGGAGACGTCCCCTTGAGCATAGTCCAGGAAAACTCCCACCCTTTGGGGAAACTTTCTGAGATTTATTGGAGTACTAGGATCAGTAAAGGCTTCAAAAACTTCTCTGAATCGTCCCACAACCCAGTATCCATTTGAGGGGGATGGAGCATTGTATCTTGTTTCCTCATCTTCACTCCATATCCCTAGACCCCAATCACTTCTGTCTCCATTCTTGACCTCTACTTCCCAGTAACAACGCCCTGATATGATGCCCTCAAGACCCCAAACAAAATATCCTTTTTCTACACCAACATGATTACAGGTCATACTCTTCTTGTCATGAGAGAACATAACTTCTGAATGGGAAGAATCAGGATCCAGAGTGAAAGACCCTGCAGAAAGAAGAACTCATTATGCAAGGTCCCCCTGCCCCATAGCAAGGGCACATACCACCTCACCCCAGATACTTAGCTATGATGGGAGAAGGATATGAGAGCCTTGTGACTCTAGCCCACAGTCTCCCCAGGAAGAGAAGGAGCCACAAGACTTACTAGAGGTCAGATATGTCACAGGACCCTTGGGACAAGCCTGGACCCCAACAACTAGGGAGCCCCTTCAGCACCCATGACCAGTCTCCCACCTCCCCCCAGCCCAACTGTGTGATGTCACAGCTGCACCCACCCCACTCCCACGGAAGGTGCAGAGTCTGTGTCCACACAGAGAACCAAAGGAAAGGCCAGAAGCTGAGCAGCCCCAGACAAACAAAAGAGTCACTCACAGGCCTGGAACTGCTCCTTCCGCCAATCTGCAAGAGACACACATCATGTGAGGGACTCTAGATACTCACACATCAGGGTCCACGCCTAGTTTTCTATAAGACAGTGACACCGAATTTAGAGGGGGAAATGTTTGGAAATATTTACATGATGCATTTAACCTTTAGATTCATATATACACACACTCATCATGCTACAAACTTTCATGAAAGTTAAGTCATAAAGCTAAATAACTGGGGATTGAGAGGCTGAATACCAAATGAACAGAATGAGCATCAATTTATGCTTTTAAGGTCACAGCCACACATCCATCCTAGAAACTAGGTTTTCTTGATAAAGTATCATGGAGGGCCTCCCTGGTGGTACAGGGGTTAAAAACAGTGCTATCAAGCTATTGCCAGCCACTGCAGCACAGTTCTATCCAGGCCAGCCAAGGAGCAACCCACATGGTACAGCAGACCTCTCCTGTCTCACCTGCTGCTCCCCTCAGCAGTGTATTTCAGTCAGCCCACCTGTTCTGTTCCCCACTCTGTCTCTGTTGAATCCTCTCACACACACTCCCTCTGCATTTCTGGCCTACACCCCAGTTCTTGTATGCATAAATGAACAAATATTAAAAAAAAGAAATTGTTGTTGAATTCTAAAATAATATGAGACAATCCATACATCCATCTGTGAACCATTCAAAGTGAAAATGTTGATTCTCATTTGTTAATGAGAATAAGAAGAGGAACATACCAAAAAAAAGTATTTATTAAAATACATGAAAAATGGACCCTGGGAACAGGAGTATATGGACCCTGGAAACAGGAGTATCATAGTGGATCATCCAGGTGGAATCAATCACATAAACTTTAAAAGCCATGGAATTTACAATTCTGTGGCCAAAGATAATTTTATGTATGGTGATGAAAGTAGGGTCATAAAGATGCTACATTGCAGCCTTTAAATTCAGAAGGTGGGGGCCTCCCTGGTGGCTCAAGGGGCTAAGTCTCAGCACTATGAAGCTATGTGCAGATATTTAGCTATACTGCAGCACGAGTTATCTCCCTGGCCAGGGAGCTACCCACATGGCACAGCAGACCTCTCCTGTCTCGCCCTCTGCTCCCCTCAGCAGTGTATTTCAGTAGATCTGCCTGTTCTGCTCCCTAATCTGTCTCTGGTGAATCCTCTCACCCCCTGCACCTCTGGCCTATACTCCTGCTCTTGTATGCATAAATAAATAAAAAATAAATCTTTAAAAATAAAAAAAAAAAAAAATAAAATCACAGGGTGGGGATAAAGATGACTCTATGATCCTCACTGTGTGGATATGAGTCCCCAGGAGAACCAGGGAGATTCTCAGGAGGGTCCTCACTCTCCTGGCCCCTAGGCACCTCCCCGATAGCCCCTGCCCCACCACCCCTTTGTCTCAGGGTCTGTGTCCAGGACCATAAACAAACCCCTAAGCAGGGAAAGAGCGTGTGACTCAGGCTCACCAGGCTCAGATCTCCCTTCACCAGCATCACTGAACTTCCCTGGGAGCCCTGGGTGCAGACGCCGCTCCGGGGGAATGGGGTGGGGGGAGAGGGGGGTCTCATATCAGTGGCAACTCTATAAGAGAGTTACTTCAAAAATGGTTTATAAAATTGTCATTTCTTCAGAAATACTTCAAAAAGGGATCAAAGGGATCAAACCCCTTATATTTCATACCCAAGCCTTGCACAGCTTCTTCTCTGCCCATGTTCAAACATGGTGACTGGGATCTTTGCCCTCTCTTCAGTTCCTCTGTCCATCCAAACCGCTAAAAGATACTTCTCCAAAACACCTCCCTACTTCCTTCCCATCTCATATCTATTCTCTGGGAAACAATTGTAACCATTCTAAGTTTCTCCTTTACCAATCTATACTAAACCCTAAAAAAAGTAAACCATCTTATCTTAAGACTTTAAGATAAAAAGAATTCTCCTACAATGGAAGGTGATGCTACTGAAAAATCATATATGACATTTTTATTTTTGTTACTAACAACATAACACACAAATTTTTCATATAATTTCATGTCTTTTACAGGCCCCAAACCAAGAGTCTATAACATCCCAGAAGCTATGAATGCATACTCAGAACACATGCTCTAAAATTGCTTAGAGGGAAAAATCCAGCTTGAACATGGATCAAAGGATGATGAAACAGAGAACAAAGAAGACACAGAAAACCAAAACTAGATCCAAATAAGAACAGGAATTTTGGATCCAAACATATGTATAACCAAGGACCCCTAAGCAAGAACTGACTTCAAAGCAGGAAAAGGGATTTCTGGACTATTCTAGACACTAGCAATTCCTGATCCACACAGTTGTCCCTGCTGCAGCCTCCTCACACTGACCCCACTGTCCTCACTACAGGAAGGACCAGGTGACAAGGGGTCAGAGGGTGTCCTGACCCCACATGACCTGCAGGGAGGACAGGGCAGGTGGAGGCAGGTCTGTGCTCACAAGGGTGGGGGGGGGGGGCTGCAGTTCTCAAATGGAGGCTCCAGAGTGAGAGGAGACCAGGGACCCCAGCCCCTTCCTGTTGGGAGTCCCTGACAGATAAGGGGCAGAGGGGAGGCTGGAAGGGGGTTCTAGGATCCTCAGGGCCACTCACCTGCGTACAGCTGGGCCTTCCTCCAGGCTGGAAGGGAAAACACAGGTGAGACCTCAGCACAAACACCTGCTCATGTGATCCAAGGCCCTGTGCCCGCCTTGTTCTATAGGGGGGAGGGGGGAGAGGCTGAGAAGTCATGACCTCTTGCCTTGTGCAGACAGCAGGGAGTGGTGGGAAATCCCTGGTTCAGGGCAGGAGCCTGCAGGACAGACCAACCCAGCCCTGCATGCTGCTGCTCTCCGGCTTTGGGCAAGTCACTGAGCCACTCTGGAACTCACAGCCTTCAAAAACTCCCCTTTCATTTGCTATTCACTTTTGATACACAGGATCAAAAATAATAAATAGTAAGATATGTTTTAATGTATATATTAGTCTAAAATTATTATATTCACTCTTTCTGGCAAATACATCTAGGAAATTTATATGAAGATGAAATAAGAACACAACAGGTATATCACACCAACCCAAGAGTAGAAGTAGCCGATCTTCCTCAGATAAGTATTTCTAGAGATAAACACTCTCTGGGAGATGGAAAGTCCCCACCCCTTCCCATGCAGGGTCACCCCATCCTCTCCCATCACTATTGATCAGGAACAGAGAGAACAGATTCTCCTTGCATGGGTTATAAGGAGAGAGGGAAGAATGAAGATACCCTCTTATATTTAAAGTGCCCATTAATCTATGAAATTTCAGAGCAGCAGGCTTCTACTTCCAGGTGTTGACCAAGAACGAGATGCACCGAAGACTAGAAAGCCAGCTTGATGGTGGGCAGGTTCAGGGCTGGAATGAGACTAAGATGCAGGAGACTCCATGGGTCACCACCCATCAGAATTTCAGACTTAGGAGGAGGCACCACGCAGATCTGGTAGAGCCCATGGAGCAGTCCTGCCTCCCACCCAGGTCCACACATCTATGCTTAGACAGACAAGGGGAGGGACCCCTGGGCCTATGGGTACAGGAGACCCAGGACACCTAGAGCATCACTTACCAGCCAGGTAAGCTGCCTTCCTCTGCTCTGAAAGACAACACAGAAAACAAGTGAGCTAAGAACAAGAATATCTCCTATGAAGGGGAAACATATTGTTCAAGAGGGAGAGCAGAGCTTACCTAGAATTGCCTGGAGTTCATCTGAAAGAGAGTGAAGAGAAATAAGCATAAACTCTTGTTCCTAAGAAGTGAATCTGTGTGCTTAGAGAACCCTCTCTGTGTCCTAGAAGTTCCATCTTCAGACCCATCTGAGCCTTCAAGCTCTACTGTCCTCTCTGGGTCTCCTCAGTCTCCCTCTTTATCTCCCTGCAGAGTGGACACTGGGCTCTGATCTGTGCTCAGCTTGTCCATTTCAGCACCCTTGGCCACACTCACAAGATTGGCACAAGTCCTAACTGACCTTTCTCCTTCAAGGCCTTCTCCTTGAACCATAGGTCCTCCTCCTTAGCCCTGCACAGATTCCTCTGTTCCTGCAGCTCCCGCATCTGTGTGGAATGTTCTCTCTGGGTGTAGCAGACAGTCCCCAGGAGTAGGAGTAGCAGCAAGGGCAGGATCACCAGGAAAGCCGGCTTCCAGGGAGAGGCCCGGGGAAAGAAGGGCTCTGCAGACAGAGACCCCCACAGAGACCCCAACAGGACACAGCCCAGGACAGCCCAGCCCAGCACACCTGGGGATGCCAACCCCTCCCTCTGACCCTGCAGGGAGTGGGGAGGGGGAGCAGCACTGACCTGGGATGACAATGGCCATGGCCTTCTCCTGGCCCAGGACTGGGTTGAGGATGGAGCAGGTCACATTCCCCGCAGAGCTGTCTCTCACCACCAGAGCGGCCTCCACGCTGAACAGCCCCTCAGTGTCCTGGACCTGGACCTTGGAGAACTTCTGGAACTGCTCCCCATGGGGGTCTCTCCACTGTACCTGGGGCTTTGGAAACCAGCCTGAGGTGGTGCACACCACGCGCACCCCATCCTCCTCTGGCCTCGAGATGTGAACTTGGGGGGCAGAGCCCACACCTGAGAAGGGAAGATGAGAGCCAGTTGGGGCAGGACCCACCTATGCACACCTCCAGGGGAGGTTGTCCAGGTGCATCCTGGGGTTCTGAAGGAGCTACCCTGGGGTGCTAATAGAACCCCAACACAGAAACCAGAGGGTTGAAGCATGAGAGGCTGGAAAGGCCTGGTCTCCTCTCCCAATCCTGCAGGTAGAGAGACAGTGCACACAGAAGAGGAGAAGGAATTCACATCTCTTTCAGGAAAACATATAAATCATAAGGATAAATAAATCAAGTTTAAAACCAGGTCAGTTTAGGAGGAACAAGGCCTATATCAACCAGATTTTCAAGGGCAAAAGAAAAACTAGGTCATGTGTTTATATCAACACATATTCTTATGTGGACTTCCTCCAGATAGTCTAAAATATTTGAGATTAGATTTCGGGAATCTATTTTGTTTTGTTTGTTTTAGTTACCCTAAAAATCTTCTATATCCAAATTGACCTTCCTCCCACACTCCTGTGGTTCATTGAGAGGGAATCTCCCCACCAAAGATGACTGTTCCCTGAGCTCTAACACCACAGGCCACCCATCCTCTGTAAGGGTTGTTCCCATCCATTCTCTCTCTCTCTCTCTCTCTCTCTCTCTCTCTCTCTCTCTCTCTCTCTCTCTCTCTCTCTCTCTCTCTCTCTCTCTCCTCCCTCCCCTGTTTCCCTTCTCACTTCCCCTCCCCCCCTTCTCTGATATCTACTCTATAACTGTACTCCACACCTCTAGACTGTCTACCTTCCATTTTCCACTCCCAAGTGTGCCAGAGTCATCATTCTAAGCACTACTGTGCTTAAAATCTTCAAAACTCAACATCCAAACACTATAACAAGACACAAAAAGCCTTCTCTGTGTGCCATCTGCCTTGCTTCCCTTCCCTCTTCTTTCTGCTTCTCTACAATTTTTACCACCTGTGCCCTCAAGCCCAACCTTCCAAACCCTAGAATTTAACTGCTGTTATCCACAATCATCATGCTGAGTGCACACCTTCCTTTTCTTCTTCTAGTCTGAGGAGGTATATGGAACCATGTCTGAAAAAAATGAAGTCCCAGTTCAAAAGTCTACTTCCTATGGAGTTTTTTTATGATTACATTTGGTAGCATTAATCACACCCCCTCCATCACCTTTTTACCCTGTACCGATGATATTTTTTTATTGTAGTACTGTCCTTGCTTAATGTCTCCATCACTCATCCCAGGATATTTACACTGGGGTGTGAACAGAAATCACAGTCACTGGAATTGGCAACATGATGACTATAGGTAACATTGCTGTGTGATATAAAGAAAAGCTGTTAAAGGAGTAATTCCTAAGAGTTTTTTTTTTTTCATTATTAGAATGTTTTTTCTCTTGCTTCCTTTAATTTTCTTTTATTGCATCAAAATTAGAAGGGGGATGTTAGCTAGCCTACTGTGGCAATCATCTCACTGTATATGTAAAAATCAAATCATGCTACTATGTACCTTAGACTTATACAAAGATGTATAGTGATTATTGATCAATAATCCTGGGGGGGGGGGAAGGAACACCAAATCCCCCAGATATCTACTTAGCTAAATCCCCATTTCCCTTGATTTTTTTGCTCAGAAGCAAAATGATGAGGCTTTGCTCAAATAGAACCATCCTGAGCTCCCATTTATTACTTCAACCTCCCCAGGCCCACATCATTGATCCATTTCCCCTGTTCTATTTTGCTTCTTATTCTCATCATCTATTACTCTTTAAAATATTTATAACTTTTTTATTTATTATGATTGTTCTATCTCCCACTTGAAAATATAAACTCACAGAGTGGAGAACTTGATTAGGTTCATTGTTGTATCTACCTGCTTAGAACAGACACAGACATATAGTAAGTGCTCTGTATAATTGAATTTAATGAATTAATAAGTTCTTCTTCCTCGTGAATGAAATTTAGGACTGAATTACATGGTCCTTAGGTTATTCCAGCTCCAAAAGTCCAAGACTCAGTAATGTTTAACCATGTTACCAACCTGCCACCTGCAGTTCCAATCCAACTTGCTCATAGAAGTCTCCATCTCTGAAGAAGCAGGTGTAGAGCCCATCATCAAAAGCCTGGACTTTGTGGATGCGCACAGCAGCCACACCCTTACTAAGGAATTTCCCCACCAGCGAGGTCCGCCCTATGTACTGGGCCATCAGTTCCTCATTTTGCTCCTGTCGGTCTTGATAGGTGAACACTGACTTTGAGAAATCAGAGCGGAACCACCTCAACTCCATGTTCTCTGCACTCATGACTGGGTCCAGGGAGCAGGACAATGTGGCATCCTCACCCAGCTCTACCACAATGGGGTCTGAGGGGCCAATCACATGGAACTTCTCTGTGAACACAGACATGGGAGTTAGAAAGGTTGAGACACACACACCTGGAGCAGAAAACATACCATCACTACCCAAGGTGTTCAATGAGAAGCCCAAGGTGTTCAATGAGAAGTCTGATGAGCTGAAGGACTGAGCAGTGACAATTCTGAAACTTGGAAATATCTTCCAACCACATCTTGCTCCAGAAATAATGTCAAAGATACTCCTTCATTCACTGGTGTAGCTGATAGCAGAAGCTTCCATGGAGAATTCTAACTCTGTAGTTCTCACTTTGGCATGTATTACAATCACCAAAAGGGCTTGTAAAATAGAATGCTGGTATCTTACCCCAAATCTGATGCATTAGATTGGGATATACCCAAGAATGTGCATTTCAATAGAGTGTCTGGGGGAAGAATGGTGTCAGGTGAGGTTCCTTGCTTCATTACCCAGAGGATCATCTAGGTTAACCAGTGGAACAGTGCATCCAGAAAATACCATGGTTTGAAACAAAACTGGACATCATTACCAGGTAGACATCACCAAAAGGGAATCAAAGAAGATTCATGCTTCACTGAACTAGAGGAAGATGAAGAGAGACACCTGGAGACTGTGGTCAGGGATGAGAAGTTTCAGTACAAATTATGATGCTGCCACTCAATCAGACACTTGATCAGTGGTCCCAGGGAAGGAGAGCTAACAATATAGAGGCACACATCTTCAACTGAAGGGAAATACACGCAGAGAAACTGAGTTCTCCCAGAAAACCAGCTCCCCAGTGAAAAGAACAAGGACACAGAGTTGGAGTGTACTACCACTCTCCCACATCTCAGGACTGGACTGAACTCCTAAAGCACACTGAAAGTGTGTGCATGTCAGAGTCTCAGGACTGGACAGTGGGCTATCAGCAGTGCTACAAACATGAGTCGGCATGTCCCTCACCCCAGAGCATGCACAGCAGAGGTTAGATGAGTGCAGGCACTACCCACAACCTCTGACACAGAATCTCAAAGATCAGGTCTATAAACCTACATAAGTTTAGAAAGGCCAACAATCTAAAATCACATAACTCTACAATGTTACCTGATGAAAAGAGAGAAATAGTTCAAATCTCTAAGTTACTACTATGGATCTATAGATGCTTTAAAAAAATAGTAAATCTAGAGTAGAAAAATAACCACAAAATAGTATACCACATGGCAATTTGAGGCCTCAAGGGAATATGAAATCACAGGAAAAGAGCAATCCTCCAAAATGTAACTGCAAAGATATGGAAGATCCTATCTTCCCGTCAGGTAGAGAGTTCAAAATTGCTATAATTAAAGTCAAAAAGATGGAAGAAAACACAGAAAAGCTAATAAATAAATGTCATGAAAAATAAAATTAATCAACAGAAAATATAAATTGAAACTTTAAATAATAAGATAATAGAGATATAGGATGAAAAAGTCAACAGAGAAGATTTAAACTTCTGAAGAAAGCTATTAGGGCAGAATAAACCAAATGAAAACTGAATCATTTATCACAAAGAAGAAAGAAAGAAATGAAGACACACTTCAGGAAATAACCAATTCTGTGAGGAAAGGCAACATAAGGATAATGGGTTTTAGAGAAGGGAAAGAGAGAGAGAATGAAACAGAGAACTAGTCAAGAAATGGAGGTAAATTTCCCAACTGGTGAAGGAACTGATGTACAAGTCCATAGAAGTGAAACACCATGTTAAATAAATGTAATGACATATATATCAAGACACATGGGCATGAAACTAGCAAGAGTTCAAGAAAAGAAAGAATATCTCAGATGACTAAGGTGGAGCAGCAGGTTGAGCACAGCACTGTGAAGCTGTACGCAGCCTCTGCAGCACCAGTTCCATTCCCGGCCAGCCAGCGAGAAACCCACATGGCGTTACAGACCTCTCCTGTCTCGCCTGCTGCTCCCCTCAGCAGTGCTTTCAGTCTGTCTGCCTCTTCTGCTCCCCGCTCTGTCTCTGGAGAATCCTCTCATCCTCCCACACCTCTGGCCTGTACCCCAGTTCTTGTATAAATAAATAAATCTTTAAAAAAAAAAGCCCTTAAACAAGTAGAGAATGGAATGACATATTCAAAATATTTATATATAAATCTGCCACCCATATCTGGGTGATACTATAATCTATAAGACTTTCCTACAGATAAAAAGGCAAAGTAGAGACCTTCCCAAACAAATAGAAATTGATGAAGTTTGTAACACCAGACCTCACCAAAAGGAAATGTTGAAAAGAGCACTCAGAGAGAGAAGAATTTTAAAAAGAAAGAAAGAAATGGAAAAGAAAATAGGAAGAAATTGGAAAAAAAAATTTTAAAGGCACAGAGTAGCTGATTGAATCAGAAAACAAAACTCAATTTCTGCTGTCTCTAGGAGATTCATCTGTGCTACAAAGATAAACATAGGATCAAAAAAGTGTTGGAAAATTATAGTACAAGAAATTGGGGTGACCCAAAAAAGTCAGGGACAGTTATATCAGATAACATAGGTGTCCAGAAAAAAAGAAAATAAGATACATGGATGTATATCATGTAATGATTAAGGAATCCTACATAATGAAAATACAACACTCATCAATATACAGGCACCAAACAAAGAAGCATCAAAATATATAAGGTAACTATTAGCAAATCTGAAAACAGATATTGACAGAAAAATAATAAGGGTAAAGAACTTCAGCAACCCATTTCATCAATTGATACATACAACAAAAAAAATCAAACAGGAAACAGTAATCTTAAGTGAGAAATTATGCCTCATGGGGCTAATAGGTATTTATAGGGCAATTCACCCCTCAACCCTAAACAAGTAAGTGCACATTCTCCTTAAGTGGAACAGTCTCCACAATACACCACACAGAGTCACAAAACAAGTATCAATAAATTCACAAAAACTGAAATCATGTGAGTATCTTCTCTGATCACAAAGATATCAAACTAGAAGTGAGCATAAAAAGAAAGCAAGAAGACTTTTAATATGTGGAAACACACCACTGAATGATGGGTTAAGGGGGAATCAAGAAAGAAATGTATAAATACTTCTAGAAAAATGACATGAGGGAACAACCTACATATGGTACACAGCAAAAGTAGTTCAAAGAAGGGAGTATATAGCAATACAGCTCACACCAAAAACCAAGAAAGAGCTAAATAAATAACCTTATAACTACAGAAATTAGTAAAAGAAGTAATGAAAACAAAGACAAGGAAACAATAAAAATTAAAGCAGAAATAAACAGAAACCAAAGACAGTCCAAAAGATAAATGAATGCAAACTGTGGTTCTTAAAAATTTTTAAAAATAAATCTTTTGTTACACTTGCAATGGAATAAAAAAAGAGGAAGAAGGGGCCTCCCTGGTGACACAGGTGTTAAAGGCAGTGCTATCAAGCTATCCCCAACCACTGCAGCACAAGTTCAATCTCTAGCCACCCAAAGAGCTTCCCACATGGTGCAGCAGATCTCTCCTGTCTTGCTCACTGCTCCCGTCAGCAGTGTATTTCAGTAGATATCCTTGTTATGCTGCCCACTCTGTCTTCTGAATCCTCTCATCCATCCTCGCCACTTGTACCTCTGGCTTACACCTCAGTTCTTGCATGTATAAAAATAAATAGATCATTAAAAAAAAGAAGAGGAAGAAGAAAAATCTTAATAAATAGGAAAAAAATGAAGATGAGTGTTACAACAGATATTTCAGGAATACAACAATAAAAGACTAATAAATATCTATATGTAGATAAATAAAATAACCTTGAGAAATGGTCAGTCTTAGAAGTATACAACCTTCAAAGACTGAATGAGGAAAAAAAAATCTTAGACCAATTAAAACCAAGGATATTGAAACACTAATCAAAAGTTTCCCAAAAACCAAAGCCCAGGACAAGACATTTTCACTAGTGAGTTTTATCAAATCTTCAAAGATGAACTAATACCTGTCCTTCTCAACTCTTCAAAAAAAAAAAAAAAATAGAGGAAGAAGGAATGTTCCCAGTAACACAAGGATAGCTCAACAATGGAAAATCAAGAGAATTCAGCTCATGTGAGTTAGAATTGTTATTATCAAAGAGGCAAGAAATAAAAAATGTTGGTGAAGATTAGTGGAAAAAGACCCCTGTGCACTGTTGATGGGAATGTAATTGATGTGGCTACTTAGGAAAACAATATGGTAGTTACTCAAAAATAAAAATAAAATTGCCACATGATTCAGTAATTCTACTTCTGGGTATTTACCTGAAGAATATGAAAACACATTCAAAAAGAGATATGGCCCTTATTTGCACTGCAGGACTATTTACTAGCCAAAGTAGGAAATAATTGCAGGAGGATTAAGCAAATGTAAAATTCATATAACACAAAAATATGGACAAGATTTTTTTTTAAAGATTGCCATTTTCTGGGCAGAAGAGCTAAAAAGAAACTTCTCTGAAGAGGAAATGCAAATGGCCAACAGGCATATGAAAAAATGTCCAACATCACCTGTAATCAGGGAAATGCAAATCAAAACTACCATGAGATACCATCTTACACCAGTGAGAATGGCACATATTAAAAAAACTAGCAACAACAAATGCTGGCGAGGTTGTGGATAAAAAGGAACTCTCCTGCACTGTTGGTGGGAGTGCAAACTGGTCCAACCACTATGGAGAGCTGTGTGGAGATTTCTGGACCTACTAAACACAGAGCTTCCATATGACCCAGCAATTCCACTCCTAGGTATTTACCCAAAGGACGCAGAAACATCAATTCCAAAGAGAACCTGCACCCCTATGTTTATAGCAGCACTGTTTACAATAGTTAAGCTTTGGAAACAACCCAAATGCCCCAAAATAGATGACTGGATCAAGAAGATGTGGTACATATACACCATGGAATATTACTCAGCATTCAAAAAAGATAAACACATGCAATTTGCAGCAACATGGATGGCGCTGGAAGGGATCATGCTCAGCGAAATAAGCCAGAAAGAAAAAGAAAAATACCGGATGGTCTCACTCATAGCAGGAATCTAGAAAAC